GAGAGCTACAAGGAGCCGGCGAGACCCGCGGAGGATGAGCCCTTGAACTTGGAAGGGCTGGTCGCACACAGGGTGGCAGGTGAGAGGCGCCCACAGGCAGACGGGGATAAGGGACATGCCCAGGGCCACTCAGGGAGGCTGTGTCAAGGCTGAGAATCCAAACCTGGTCTCCGAGCTGAGGGCTGTTCTCCAGGGCTGCCAGCTTGAGATGCCTCGAGCAGCCCCGGGCGGAGTTAAGAACAGATCTGCCCTCATGCTGCAAGGCAGAAGTGGGGTCAGGAAGTATTTCCCCCCCAGCAACTCTCCGGACACAGTTTCCGGGCCTGGCGGTGCCAGGGCTGCGTCCGTCAGCCCACGGGGCTCTGTCCCAGCCCCTTGGACTTGGTTGACCTCCAGGGCTGACCCTTAACCAGAACCAGTGGCGAGGGGTCTCACCCCCGCTGCCCCACGGCACAGGGGAGCACCTCGGGGAAGTGGTTTCCTTCAAATCTCCCCCTTCCCAAAGCTTTTTCCCAGTGCGTGAGGGGGGCAGCTTATTACAGGCAGGTGCCCCAGCCCCGCAAGCGGCCAGCTCTCTCGGGGTGCGTGGGGGACCCCCCCCTTCCCTCCGCAGTGGCAGAGAGCAGGGAGGGGGAAGACGCTGGTCCCTGGGGTGCTATATGGCAAGCTTCGGCCAAGTCCTCGGGTGCAAGGATGCGGCCTTTGCTACCCGCCTCGGGGAACAGAGGCTGGGGATGGGTCTCTCCGGTGCAGAGGTTTTGGGGCCAGTGTCTTGCAACGGGCCCGCCTTTGTGGCGCCGGGGTCTGGGCACGGCTGCGTCACGGGAGAACACAGAGTCCCGGACGCCGGGTGAGCCGAACGTGCGGCCAGGAGGGCACAGATGCGCGGTGGGGGGGCGTTATTTACACCCCGGGCGGCTATAAATGGCCCGTTTGTGTCTCCCGGGGAAGGCGGGTGGAATTTCACGCCTCCTCCCGCTGGGAACGTGACACCTCTGATTTCCTCTGCCCCGGCTGCAAGGGGGGCAGGGCTGGTGCCTGGCTCTTGGCTCCGCTGTGCCCTTGCACCTGTGCCGGCAGGTCGGGGACGCCCCGGTGCGCGCTTGCCGTGGGCTCCGTTCGGGGTAGGGGCAGCCTGGCAGGAAGCCCTTTGGGCCAGGACTGGTGCAGGGCAGCAGGGCCCCGGGCTGGCACGGGCTTTACCTGGGCATCCTGCTCCCCCAGCTGGTACAAGGAGGACGGGGGTGTCTTTATTCTCCTTCTGGCCAGCGAAGGAGAATAAATGTCCAGGGTGGGCATCTGGGCCTGGCGGGCATGGACACACCAGCCTTTTCCCCCGGGGTAAGCAGAGGCTGCTCCGTGAGGGGTGCCAGTGTGCCCGCTCTTAGTCTGGCGTAATAAGAGGCTGCCCCATTGAAATGCTCATGTGCCCACTCTTATGCCAGGGCAATAAGAGGCTGCTCCATCGGTGTGCCCATGTGTCTGCTCTTACCCTGGTGTAAGCTGAGGGTGTCCGTGTGCCCGCTTTTACCCCGGGGCAAGAAGAGGCTGCTCCATCGGTGTGCCCATGTGTCTGCTCTTACCCTGGTGTAAGCTGAGGGTGTCCGTGTGCCCGCTTTTACCCCGGGGCAAGAAGAGGCTGCTCCATCGGTGTGCCCATGTGTCTGCTCTTACCCTGGTGTAAGCTGAGGATGCCCGTGTGCCCGCTCTTACATGCCCACTCTTACCCTGGGGCGAGCAGAAGCCGGCCCCGCATCTGAGTTCCCCTCCTCCCCAGGCTCGGGGTGGGCATCGGGCCAACACCCCCTCCATTTTACCCCGGGATAAATAGCCGGTGAGGTGCGACTGATTGCCCAGACCCTCCCTGTCCTCCTAGCCGCCCCCGCCAGTGCCGCAGGGTCCGGACTAACGGTCTCTCTTGTGTTTTCTCCCTCTCTCTCCGTTGCGTGTTGTGTCCGTGCGTCTGTCTGTCCCTCTCTCTCTCTGCCGGACGGACGGTGCCTCCTCCCTGGCTGACCTCTTCCCGCTCTTC